TGAACAGCTTTCTTCTGCTTCCCTCCACAATGTTCTGCCTCACCAAAAGCAATGGAGCCAATCACCTATGGACTGAAATTTCTGAAACCATGAGTTAAAATAAACATTTCCTCCTTTTAAGCTACCTCAGGGACACAATGTGATCAAAAACTACAGTTAATGGTTAAATTTTTTTTTTAATTTATTACAGTAAAAGTCATGTTGCCATTAATCCCCTTCAAAATATTAGCCCTCGCTTCAAACACATTACCCCAGCATTCTTATCACTTTCTGAAGCAGTTCTGGAAGTCTTTTTTCCATGAGTGTCTTCAGTGGAACCTGGCTACCTCAATCTTCTGAGTTGATTGAAAACATTTACCTTTCACGATCATTTTGACTTTGAGGAAGAGTCAGGGCCCAGGTCTGGTGCATAAGGTAGATGAGGACACACCATAATATTTTTAAAAACCTGCCTTTCCATTGGATAGTACCCAGCAGAAACATTCACTAGTTTTCTTTTAAATCAAACTTCATAAAGACATGAAAGAGAACTTCCAGAACTGCTTCAGAAAGTGGCAAGAAAAATGGGATAATTGTGTTTGAAGTATTTTGTGGGAGTAATGCCAATACGTATTTTACTGTAATTTTCTTAAATTTAAAAATTTAACATATATTTTGATCACCATTTATATTTTTTTACAGTGACAGAAACCTAACACAATAGCCATATATTTTTCTGCTTTCTGAAAATGGATATACAGCATCTGATTTGGGGCATAGGGCTTCAAGAAGAATTCATCTCAATAATCATATTCCTAGCCCTAAAGCTAACACTTATTCTTACTTTTGATGTAGGAAGGCAACCCTGACAGACATATTGCTCTATATTAATCATATAGATTAATAATCTATATTATTATAGATTAATATAGATTATAAATCTATATTAATTATATGGTTAGTATTTCAGCCTATATTTCCTATATAAAATACTGAAATTCCTCAAACATATGTTTTTATAAAATACAGTTTAACTTATTCAAGAGTAAATACATCAATGTGGGATCTATTTCCTTTGTCATTTTTTTTGCCCTGGTAGAAATTCTAATCCTCAGCTCAAAGGCTTTCTCATAGTTACTGGTTTTAACTGGCTTCCCAATTCCTCAATAATTCTTTGTTAATTCTACCATGTGTGGATGAATAATAACAGCTGTCATTTAATAAAAGCTAAGTATGAAGATATATGTGCTTAACATATACAACTTCATTAAATCCTCATTAAAAATTCTACGGGATAATTATCATTACTACAGCCCTTGAGTGCATTTTTAAAAGTGAGGATTTAAAAAAAAGATAAATATAGGGCCGGGGATTTAGCTCAGTGGTTTTGCCACCTGCTGTGCAAGCACAAGGACCTGAGTTCAATCCCTGGTACCAATCAATCAATCAATCAATAAATAAATAAATATTTTCCTAAAGTCACATAGATACTAAATAGCAGACCTGAGGGTCAAGCCTATAGACGTCATACTTCAAATTCTGAGCCCTTAACTACTAAACTCTATTTTTTTAGTGAAACATAAGCTTTAGTTAGGAAACTTTAACAGTTTCCAAATTAAATGATTATATAATTATAGAGAAATTGATGTCTGTTTATATATTTTACGGTATATATTAATTATATATTTTTAAAATATTTGTATATACATAAAGCTGCTCCAGATCAAATTTATTACTCCCAACAACTCCCCTCTCTCACTCCATTCTCAATAAATACAGCAATTTTCCAGGTGAGTTTCACTTCCTTTAAGTTAGTAAGTAAGTCTTATCCCTCCAAATACTGTATACCCTTTCTTCATTCTGTTTTCTCTATCATTAATTTATTCGAAATTGAGAATCTTTATTCAGTTTTCCATCACATGCTAGGCAGTGTTCCCCAGTCTGAAGAAAATGTTTCTGCTTGTTAGCAACTCACATTCTACTAAAAGAGAAAGACACTACTCACAAAGGTACATTGCCATCCTCTGCTCAAAAAAAGACAATGGAATTTGTATACTCGATGAAGGAACCCATGAGGGGGGCATGAACAGCAGTGTCAGGGGATAGGGAAGCTTTCCTAGGGGAGGATACATTAAAGCTGAGCCTGGATGGATGATAAGAAGTAGGCTGACAAGTGGGCAATTCTGCAAGCCACGGAGGCCTGATGGGCATGTGAAACAAGCCTCCTGCAAGCCCATCACTTTATTCCTGGTTGCCAAAATGGGCCACCAACTGGTCTCAGTTCTCCACTTTTATCAAGTCCACTTAAATGCTGTTCACAAATCCTCCAAAAGCACAAATGCTGTCACTCTTATTGTACTCAGAACTCCACATTATCACAAATTCTCCCAGTATGCCCAATAGCTGCCTTTTATCTAAGGGCCTTTTGATCACTCCTATAGTTTCTTATCTTCACCATGACTTACAACTCTAAAAACTGCTAATAGGTCTACTTCCTTGTTGAGAGAAAACACAACTCAACCTTGTATCTTGGTTTATATCATTCTGCAACCAAATTCTGTTCATGCTAGGATCCAGCATGTGTCACCTTTCTTGGCCCTTCCTTAAGTGCTCCAGCTGCCAAAACTGCTGAGCAATTCACATGACAGACACAAAATTTTATACACAGGAAAAAATAGCCATATTAAGTAATCCAACTTTCTCATCTGTCCACAATGGCTCAGTGATTCCTTCCTTCCTTCACTCATGCAGGAGGTATATTTGGGTCATCTATTATATGTGGGTCATCTATTACATGTAGTTTTCTAACTAAATGTCCCACACTAAATTCATCTCTTTTTCTTTCCCCTTCCTCCTCTTCACTTCCATCCTCCAAGTTTTCTTTTCATCTTCCTATATTCTATACAATACATTCTAAGGTAAAACATTCATAACCATTTTTGCTGTGATTTAAATAGGGTTTGTCCCCTATGGAATTTGTGCTGAAAGTTTATTCCCATTGTAACAATGTTGAAGGATGGCGGGAACTTTGAGAGGTGATTAGGTCATTAAGTGAGATGAACGCCCTTCTAAAAGGAGTTCTCACCATCACAGGACTGGGTTATTTACCCCAAGAGGAAGTTATTATAAAACCAGGCCATCCTCTCTCATTTTCTCTATTATATATATGCCCACCTACCTTTAACCTTCCTATGTTATGATATCCTCACCAGACCTTGCTGTTCTGCCCTTGGATTTCCCAACCTCCAGAAACCATATACCAAAATAAGCCTCTGCTCTTTATATAAATGACATAGTCTCAGATATTTTGTTATATCAACAAAAAACAAAGGAAAACAAACTAAGACATTCCTCTACTATTTTTTCTTTCTTAATTGTCACATGCAATTGCTCACCTAGTTTTGTTAATTCTAGTTTAGGGAATGTATCTAAACTGTGTTCTAGCTCTGTACCTAAAGTCCCTACTGAACTGTTAAAACACTCACCGTTTCCCACCAGGAAGGTCAAGCCTTGTGAATGAAGCAACATTTTCCTTATTTACAGTAAATAGAGCATGTTTGAAGTTCACTTATACTGTAGAGTGTTCAATCTTACAGAAAATAGCACTGCAAAGTTTTTAGAAAATCACTTGAAGAGTCCTAGTGCATGATTGGAAAGGATGACTCAGTTACTTATGACTTCCAATTCACAGATGATTCTTTTTCTCAGTGAATTGGAGCACTTTGTATTTGATGGGGAAATGTTGCACAAATTGCTTTTTATTTTATAAACACTTGTCTGAGGTTTAAGGATGCAAATTGAAAGAAAAACATGATAAGTCATGGTCTATGTTAAATGAAAGTGTTTCACTAGGGAGGTAAACATCAGCATCTTCCTTCTCTCTTCCTGGGGCTAGCGCAGTGCCTCTGTGGTGGGTATTGAATGAAACATTCCACCCTTGACTCTCTTTCCACTGCTCCATTGACGAAGTTCCCTTGTCTGTACTTCCATCACAGTTTCCTGTGATTTTAATTTCCTGTCTTCTCTGTGGAAGCTTTCTATACTCCACTATTTTATTCCCAGCATTTAGCACATTCTAAGTACAAATATATCAAAAACGAATTGGTAAATGAGTGAATAATTGGAGGGTGGCTATATTCTGAAGAGAGACGTTTCTGTGATAAGCTCAAGTAAAAAGTTTTAAAGATTTAGACATAGGTGGGAATGATTACTGTGCAACCACTATGAAAATAAGTCTGGAGATTACTCAAACAATTAAAAATGGAAATTTTATTCAACCCAGTTCTTCCCCTTCTTGTTATCTTCCTGAAACAGTTAAAGACATCATATCACAGTCAAGCATACAAACCCATGTTTATGGCAGCACAATTCATAATAGCTAAATCCTGTATGTCCATCAACAGCTGAATGGATAAAGAAAATGTGCTATTTACACACAACGGAGTGCTACTCTACCATAAAGATAGATAAATTTGAGTCATTTGTAGGAAGTTGGATACACCTTGAGACAATAACAGTAAATGAAATAAAGCTTTCTCAGGAGAAACCCAAAATATAAATGCAGTGCTTTAAAAAGCATATAAAAGATAATAGGAAATAAGTACATATATCGTTTGCAAATGGGAAGGGGACTAAGAGACTGAGGGGTAAGGAGAGAAGGAAAAGAAGAAGTAAAATGTGTTATGCACGTACAGGTACCAACTCCCCACGATGAATGTAATCATTATGTACTGCAAACATACACACAAAAATTTGATACTGGAATAGGCACTTGCAATGGGGAACAGGATTTTCAGAGACACATGATTACTTATATTCTCCACTAGACTTGGTTGATTCAATTTCTATACAAAGGAAATTCAAACTATCAAATTCCCAAAACCCTAAATGCACAGCCAGCTCTATCATAAGGCAAACTCCATAAGCTACTGACCTCCACTACCCTCGGGGGCGCTGCACAGATATGGTCGCCAAAAGCAGCACCGCGCCGGTGCCTCCTATTCTTTCCGCCCCGCCGAGCTCAGTAGTTCCTGTGTCGCACTTCCGGTTGGCTGAGCTGCGCACGTGTGTCCCGGAAGGAAGTAACGTCAGCCAGAAGAATTGAGCCGGGCGCCTCGGTGAAGTCGTCTCTTCGCCGGTATGTCGCACTTGCAGATGAAACTCCTGCGCAAGAAGATCGAGAAGCGGAACCTCAAATTGCGGCAGCGGAACCTAAAGCTACAGGGTGAGCTGTGCTGAGCTGGCGGTGGCTGAGGGGCGGGGTGGAGCGGAGCCGGCAGCCAGGGCATCCCCCGGGTTGGCCAGCACTGCTCCTCTCCTCCGTGTGGCCCCAGGTCTGCATCTGAGCCGTAGGAGCATCCCTCCGTCCGTCGCTTACCCTGGATTACATCTAGAGGCAGAGGGTTGCCTTCCAGACTCGCGGCTAGGCTTCCAACTAAGCCTGCCTTTTCATCTTCACCTTAGTTCATTTTTGACTGGCTCACCACCTTCAGGCCCACTAAGTCCCCCTTCGCTCCCCATTCCAAACACTAGTGGAACTTTTATTTCGGCTTACCTTCCAGTCTCATCTTGAGTTTAATTCATGCATTTCTTTACCCAAAAGCTTAAGCGCTCTCTTCACAGCATCACGCACCCTGTAGACGACTCTTGTAGCGCTTCCTTGTTTTCAGCTCCGAAGGTGTCATCTGCACACTGCACACGTGTATGCGAAGCCTCTCCTTACCCGTGTTCTTATCGCTCCCTGCTTTTAGGTTCTTAATCCCTTAAGAATTTATATATTTGTGTTCTGCAAAATGATTTAAATCGAAAAGATTTTACCAAAGTAGTACCTTTTTTACCTCGTTTGCAGTCCCAATTTCCTGACAGTGGACCGGAAATCTTGAAGTGATGTGTCAACTGTTGAGGTTCTCTGCAGGTCCCCAAGGATATTTCCTAGCCCCAAGTGATTTTCAACAGACAGTAATTGATTGTAAGAAATCCTGGAGTAGGCAGTAGATTTATGGGTTTTAGGGATGTGTTTTGGAGTTCCCTTATATCTTCAGTTCTTGTAGAATGATTAACATTATTAAGTACCTCTTGGTGTAGGCATAAGTAACAATCTGAACAAAAAGTAATATTCTTACATTTTCTTCTGTATGTAGACAAAAACTTCAGTAAGATATTCTTGGGTATTTGTATATGAAAAATATTGGACAAATAATTTAGTTCATTAAATTTTCAATTCACTGTGTTCTAGAAGCGTTGAAGTTGAATGTTGTGAAATTATATGACAAGTGGTACTTGTATGAATAAGATTTAAATGTCTTTTTCAACAAATCAATTAATTTTGTTTATCAAGTATTAAGAAAACTATTTTTGTTAACTGCCACTGTGTGGTCCCATAAGGTTTTTTGTTTTTTGAAGTTTTCCTGTCCCAAATGCCTAAGAGATGGATTGGGTCTTTTGAAATTAAGAAATCAATATGGCTTTCCCTTTTCCAGCATTTTTCCTTAAAAAAAAAAAAAAGCTTACTTTTAGTTAGTCGAACATCAAAAATTACAATTAGTTTGAACAGTGAACATGAAAGAGTAGAAAAATGTAAGTAAATTCAGTCATGGAATTTCTCAATGTTTCTGATAAGCCTTCCCTTTGTCATAGTGTATGTTCTGTTTTTAAACAGGAGCCTCAAATGTGAGCCTGACAGAAACTCAAAATGGCAATGTGCCCAAAGAAACAGCAAGAGTTGGAGAAAGAGTGAAAAAATCCATAAAACATTCAGTGAATGTGGGCTTGTCCAAAGCTCAAAGTAGAGATGTGCCTGAAGAAACACAGAATGTTAAGAAATCTCTAAAACATTCTGTAAACGTGGGCTCATCAGATGCTCAAAACAGGGATGTGCCTGAAAAAACTGGGAAAGTTAAGAAATCCCTAAAACAGTCTGTTAATTCAAGCTTGTCAGAAGCTCAAAATGGAGATGAGCCTGAAAGAATAGGGAGAGTTAAAAAAGTTAAAAAATCTCTAAAAAATTCTCTGAACATGGGTTTATCAGAAGCTCAAAATGGAAATGAGTCTGAAGAAACAGTGAAAAATGTCAAAGTTCAAAAGTCCCCCCACAAATCTACCATATTAACCAATGGAGGAGCAGTAACACCATCTCCTGATTCAGAATCGAAAAAGGAAAAGAAGAAGAGAAAAATGATGAATGATGCTGGGCCTGGTAAATACTTCCTTTTCTTTGAACTTCAGACATTCAGATAGTTTCTCACAGTTATCGTTCCACTTTCCTCTATTATTATTGTGTTAATATGATATATAAGAATTCCTTGGGCTCATCAGTATACCAGAGGTTAGCAATGTATGACTTTTTGTCAGTTAACTGGGCTTTTTAATGATAAACAGAACATCCTGTGGCATAATATTTTAGTTTTACATATTTGAAAGCAGAATTACCAACACTAAAGAAATCTGGAGTGGTTGTAAGGATCTCTCCCTAGGCCTTTCTATGTCAGGGAACTTGACATTAATGTTTTATTTCATTTGCCTCTTCTTTTTGCCCTCATTCCTTCCATTTCAATACTATAAATTCCTCCCCATTTAGACAGAAATTTAGTTACAAAGTATATACAGTGGCATTTAGGAACGTTATAAACAAATGAAGTATTAATTCCCAAGCGAGTGGACTAGTCAGAATAATGTTGATGGAGGGAGAGAGGGAAGGAAGATGACTGAATTTACCAAACTCCTCATGTGGAGGGGTGAGCATTTTAATTGAGATATGGATAAGCAGAGATTTCCAGGTAGGATAACACAGGTCAGCAAACTCCCTGGCCTTCCACCTGTTTTTGTTAGGTAAAGCTTTATGGGATCAAAGAAATGCCCATATGTTTGCTTTGTTTTTATTACAGTGGAGACTGTGCCCTGCGGTACCCAAAATATTTATCAGACCTTTATGGAAAGTTTGACAACTCCTGAGATAGAACAGTCTATGGATGTATTTTATCTGAAGAAAAGGTTTCATTTAGAAAGAAACTATGAAGTTTTCCAAACATGTATGGCTGTCTTCATCCTTCCTACAAAGCAATAAATGTGTAGGTTATGAGAAATTGCTTAAGTAAAACAAGATAGAAAATATCATGATAATTGGGAATTAATTTTGATGTAAAGTGATTGTAATCCTACTCTAAAATTATTAGTGGCTTTAGGATTGCTCTGAATATCCCCGAAGAAAGTAACATTTCTACTTTCAAGCACTGAAATCACAGAACTGGGAGTTTTAAACTGTGGGTAAACTTTAAGAATGAAAGGGCCGGGGATTTAGCTCAGTGGTTCCGTCACCTGCCTTGCAAGTGGAAGGACCCAAGTTCCATCCCCAGTACCAAAAAAAAAAAAAAAAGAATGAAGGCAAAAGTAAGAAGCCCAGGATGCAGTTGATGACATCCATGGCTTTTGAACATATGAGTCTTACAAGGTGACCATTTCCCAGAAGAGTTGGAATAGAATACAGGGTAAAAGCCACCCTGGACTACAGAGTCCTGAGTTCTGATTTAGATCATTTTTGTTCAGTAAGTGCCATAAATTTATATAAAAGCCTAATGTGGTAGTAAACCCATTAATCCTAGAAGGAACCTTTAAGAGAGTTATAGGTAGAACTAGAAAAGTACTGTAGTTTGGGACCTTATTGTGAAAGTTGTGCATATAGAAGTGAAGGTAGGAAGGCCTACTCTTCCTCCGTCACCACTTAAAAGCCTAGAAACAGCCTGGTACTTATCGCCAGCTAAGCAAATCATTGCTTTTGCCTTACAGTCTATCTCTAGAAACATGAAGTGTGTGCTTTTTTACAAAAATGACTTTTATAAAACTAATGGTAAATGGCATGAGCATAAAAAATCAGTTCTAACAGTTTTTTTAAATTATGCTAATCAGTTCTGGTTTTCGCTCAGTGAAGTACATCAAACTCATAATTAGAACCCTTATATAGTTTAATTGAACTTTTAAGTTTTTTTAAACAAGATAATGCAGTATATTAAGAAGCCTAAAACATGTTGGCAAGTCTGTGTGTACCCAGAGTTTTAAATATGACCAGTTCTTTCATGGAAAGCAGAGATTCTTAACAAATTCATATTGAATATGTTTGAGAAAATATACCCAATTGTATCACAAATCATTTGTTGATCTCATTCAGTATTTTCATTTTAAGAGAAAACAATTTGTTTTGTTCTTTAAAACCAAAGATACAAAAAAAGCAAAAACTGAAGAAAGTACCAAGACTCGTGAACAAACAGAAGATGGTGTGGGGAAATCAGATGGTGAGGAAGGTGACGGTGAAGTGCCCAGCCTGCCCCTGGGACTGACAGGTAACTTCTAGAAAGTTCCAGATTCATCTTCTGAGAAACATCATATCTCCCTGGTTATACAATTGAAGGTTCAGACGTGATGTTTAGCTTACTGGAAAAAGTAAATTTCAACAAGAAATGTTTTTATGTTCTCTGCTCCTTTTTTTCTCTTTATCTTCTACCTTGTGATGCCTTGGTACTTTTTGTTCCTTCCCCTTTTTTTCTTTCTTCCACTCCTAACATTTAAATATTTTTATGTGGACACAGCTTCTGAGATGCTGCTTCTTTGATTCACTTTTCTTTTGAGGGAGTAGATCTCACTGTTGCCCAGGCTGGACTCCAACTTGCAATCCTCTTGCCTCCGCCTCCCAAGTAGCAGATTGCAAACATGTGCCACAGTATTCGGCTGTTTTATCCTTTGCTAAGGCTCTTTCCTTGTTGTAGTAGGAAAATTGGGGCCTCAGAAGTCTGGGTAGCAGAGGATAATACAAACTCATTTACTAATGAAGGAAGGATAAAGGGCAGGCTTTTGCCAAATAAACCTCTTTTGGCCTTGGTTCATGAATAAAGTCAACAGTTTAGAATTTGCTGCTCCAAAGCAGAAGTTTCTGGGAATGGCTTGAGCTGTTGTTTAGTTTGGGCCTTTTTGTTTTTGTAAAAGTATGAATGTGTAGCCCCAGGCATGCTTAATCAAAATTATGGAGGTTGGCAGGGGTTGCAGCTCATTGATAAAGCACTTGCTTAGCATGGATGAGGCTCCAAGCTCTATCCTTAGCACTAGAGGGGAAAAATTATCTAGCTAAAAATGTCCGTTCCTGTATTTCTTAACTGACAATGGAAGTGTATAATAAATTATTGTAAATTGAAAACTTGAGTAAAAAATAGACTTACTGTACCTAACATCATAGCCTAGCCTACCTTAAGCATGCTCGGCGCTCTTAACATTGGCCTACAGTTGGACAAAATCACCTACCATAAAGCCTGCTTTATTTAATAGAGTGTTGAATATCGCATATAATTTATCAAATCATATTAAAAGTGAAAAACAGAGTGGTTATATGGATATGCTTTATACCATCATAAACTTGACAGATTGTTAGTTGAACTGTCTGTCATAAATTTGGGACCATCATTATTGCCAAGGCTGACAATTCCTGGTTTATGGACTGGTGTGGAGTGGGGTGTTCCCGGAGTATTTTGATCCCTTCCCCTGCTGAAGAACCACTATACCTCTTGAAGTCTGGATTCATTCTAGTGTTCTGTGGCTATATTTGACTCTTTTCATTGTCTTTCTCAAATGAGATTGGCTACTTTTTGGTTAATTTCATAATCAGTATTTATTATGCATAATGTTTTCACTTTATATCAGATTTCATAAACATTTCATTTCTTTCTGGGCTTTTTTAAATCTTTAGCATTTTCATTTTATATAAATATTTCAGTTATACCTCCTCTGCACTCCTTATTTTTATTAAGTATAGGCTCTGGGCTTTAAATTCCAAAGCTATCAGCAGTGGAGAGACTTCAAAAACTATAGTTTTTTTCCTGAATATCACATGGGAACGATTGGAGTTTAGTCTTTTGTTACTGTAAGAAACTCTTAAGCAAAACTAATTTAGGTAACTAGCTGTATTAACTTTTAAAAAATAAATTTACTAATGATAAATAATCTTTTCAGGAGCTTTTGAGGATACTTCCTTTGCTTCACTGACTAATCTTGTCAATGAAAACACTCTGAAGGCAATAAAAGAAATGGGTTTTACAAACATGACTGAAATTCAACATAAAAGTATTAGACCACTTCTGGAAGGCAGGTATGATTAATATTGATGCTTGGGCATTAGTAGCTGTTTTTAGGATTGTGAGATTATAAAGAAAATAACAGTATGATCTATTAATTTTGCACTGTGTGTCGTGTCATGTATCCAGCCTGTATTGGAAGCTTCAGGTGATCTGATGCATGAAGAAAAGTGTTCATGTCTCTCTGTAACATGGCTCTTATGTCTGAGTTTGATGTATAACCCAAGGGGATGATATTGGTGTTAGTGAGGCATGGACTGGGTCGTTGTGTTCTAGCTTAGTGTCTAAAGCATGTGCATAGTGCGTGTTGAGTGTTCATTAAATAATTGTTGAATGAGTAGATTAATGTCTTTCTCCTTTCCTGTTTTTTTTTTTTTTTTAATTATTTAGGGATCTTTTAGCAGCTGCAAAAACAGGCAGTGGCAAGACCCTTGCATTTCTCATTCCTGTGATTGAACTCATTGTTAAGTTAAAGTTCATGCCCAGGAATGGTAAGCTTCTCATCTTTTTCTGTCATTGTATCACTTGAAATTTATTGTGGCTTGTAGGGACTTATGATTTGACTGACTGTCTTAGCATTTTTTTGCCTTTAGGAACAGGGGCCCTTATTCTGTCACCTACTAGAGAACTGGCCATGCAGACTTTTGGTGTTCTTAAGGAGCTGATGACTCACCACGTTCACACATATGGGTTGATCATGGGTGGCAGTAACAGATCTGCTGAAGCACAGAAACTTGCTAATGGAATCAACATCATAGTGGCCACACCAGGCCGCCTCCTGGACCATATGCAAGTAGGATGCTGTTGCCTAGTGGTTCTTCGGGTCTTTTATAAAACAAACTTGACAACTGACAATTTTTCTTTCCATTTGTTTTGTTAGAATACCCCAGGGTTTATGTATAAAAACCTACAGTGTCTGGTTATTGATGAGGCAGATCGCATCTTGGATGTTGGCTTTGAAGAAGAATTAAAGCAAATTATTAAACTTCTGCCAAGTAAGTAGGAAGCATCTGTGTGTCTTCAGAGTAAGTGATAGGTGTTCTTGGAGGAACACTGTTATGTGAATATCAGGACTTGACTGTGGCCAAATGAAGTAGGTGTGTCAGTTTCCTCCTCTGCCATCTTACCCTCCTACCTTATCTAACATCTCCCAAGTAGCCAGTTTCTTTGCCTTCTGTATTATATTTGATTTGCACATACCTCAGTTACAGTCTTGCCGCATTATAAACTGCTTATATCTGTAGTAAAGCCACTATGCCATTCATTATACGATTTATGTCTTGAAGCTGTATTGAAGTATAATTGGCATAGAAAGCTGTACATACTTAAAATCTATAATTTTTCCCATGGAAACCATCACTGCAGTCAAAATCATGAATGTGTCCTTCACCCTCAGAAGTTTCCTTATGTCCTTGTGCAGTTATTCCCTGCTTCCCCTCCTCACACATGTCGCTTCTCCCGGGAGACTGCTGATCTTTTTACTGTCACTGTACACCATCTTGCATGCATCTTAGCTATCATTTTTAGACATAAAGTTCACCCTTTGTAATATTTGTGTAGCCCTTAGTAATTGTGTTTGTAATTGTGAACTAATTATGAAGATTCCACTTATATTTATGTATGTCTTTTTCAGTACGCAGACAGACCATGCTCTTTTCTGCCACACAAACTCGAAAAGTTGAAGACCTAGCAAGGATTTCTTTGAAAAAAGAGCCGTTATATGTTGGTGTGGATGATGACAAAACTAATGCCACAGTGGATGGTCTTGAGCAGGTACTTTTTAAAATAAATAACTTGAAACTTGAAGGTGTTTCCTTGTAATTGTTCAGAAATCATCCAAAAAGTAAATGGGCTTATGAACTTTGAAATCAAATAGAAGTTGCATATTGGGTCTCTGACTCTCCTGGTGTAAAATACCATGAACTCTGAGTAATTTGATCAGCTCTCTGCTCTGTTGATACTGCTCGTCATATGGGGAGAATTATTAATCACTCAAGTTTAAAGCAGTAAAAAAGGTTTTCATAGCCTCTGTAAGGTTCAGGATGAGTTGAGTAATGGAAAGGCACTTTGGGGTGGTGCTTGGCTTTGAACAGTAAAAGAGAGGTGACCTCTGCAAGTCGTATTGATGAAACTAACTTTAAGATCGAGTCTTCTGATGAATACATTTCTTGTAACTTGATGTAGCTTAGAAGTTTCAGTTGGTTTAGTTTTTAAATGCTACAAGAAGGGCCGGGATATAGCTCAGTTTTAGAGCACTTTTCTAGCTTGAGCAAGGCCCTGGATTCCATCTCCAGCACAATAAGTAATCTACATGCATGCTGTAGGAAAGGCCTCATGGTATATGGCTGTTTTTGTCAGTGCTCTCCAGTATTGTTTTGTGAAACTGAAAGTGTCAGTTGACTAACTGTATCTGTTTACCCAAACCATTTCTAGGGATATGTTGTTTGTCCCTCTGAGAAGAGATTCCTTCTGCTTTTTACATTCCTTAAGAAAAACCGAAAGAAGAAACTCATGGTCTTCTTTTCATCCTGTATGTCTGTGAAATACCACTACGAGTTGCTGAACTACATTGATTTGCCTGTCTTGGCCATTCATGTAAGTGATTGTTTACAAGTTTAACAGTAGGTTAAGGGTATGAGTTCTGTAGATTGTGGAATTGGAGTTGTTGCTCTCTTCTAAGTGTAGTTCTGAGTCATTGGCTCACGTTTGGGTGGTCAGTGCCATGGAGAAGAGCTCTGCTGCATGCGAGGGACGTGGACTGCAAAGGAGTAGAACACCACCTTCTTCTGGGGGCTGCAGTCCAGTTGGGGAAGTAGGACTAGGCCAGGGAGTGACCTTTAGATACAGTCGGGTAACAAGTCTGCAGTGGGGTATACATGTAGATGTCCCAGAAACAATTCAGAATGGATTTTTTTTCCTTTAGGGAAAGCAGAAGCAAAATAAGCGTACAACGACATTCTTCCAGTTCTGCAATGCAGATTCAGGGATATTATTGTGTACAGATGTGGCAGCGAGAGGGCTGGATATTCCTGAGGTCGACTGGATTGTTCAGTATGACCCTCCAGATGACCCTAAGGTAACTGGCATCCGGGCTGTCATCAGAATGGCTGTGTGTGAAAGAGTGCACATACCGTCCAGGTTCCCTGAGAAATACGTTCATGTTCATAAGGATTGGCCCTTCTGTGTAGCCAGTCTGCAGAACTCGAGTTCATTAACTAGGGCATTGCAAACCCAGCAGGGATGTGCAGTGAGTTTGAGAGGCATCAGTGGGTCTCAAGTGAATGATGTTAGAGCCTTGGAGTGATATGTCCAGAGCAACAGATGTCTGAAGGAAATAACTCTGGCTTAAGGTAGATAAAATTGTGTAACATTTATAATAGAATAAGCTTCATTAACTATTTTCAAGGAGCTGGGGATTTATCTCAGTGGTGCCGCCACCTGCCTTGCAAGCACAAGGTCCTGAGTTCGATCCCTGGTAAAAAAATAAAAACAAAACTATGTTTAGCAAGCAAAGAGTATAATAAATTGACACTTGTAAAAGCCATTTTGAAGATTAATTACACTTAGTACTCATTAGGTCACGGTGCTAATGTGAACATGATGTGCAGCCTTTTCATAGCCTTGGTCATTGACCTGTTAGCATTTAGGGATGGTGTTGGCAGAGAGAATTCCAGCCTGACCCTGTAGAGGACCTGGTGAAGGGGAGTGCGCCCTCCTGTGCGGGAGGCGCACCCTCTCCCCTTACAGAGGTACTGCCTGCCTCTGCCTGGAGGGCACATGCATAATGCAGCGTGTTGATAACAGGCCGCTGTGGAGGTCAGTCCCTTAACTTGGATTTTCTTTCTCCTTCAAAGGAATATATTCATCGTGTGGGTAGAACAGCCAGAGGCCTGAACGGAAGAGGGCATGCCTTGCTCATTTTACGCCCAGAAGAGTTGGGTTTCCTTCGTTACTTGAAGCAGTCCAAGGTATAGATCCTTGCATGTGGAATCTTAGGTTGGGACAAGATTCCTTTTGGTGCAGGGGTTGTGAGCAGATGCCATTTCTAGATGTATCAGGACAGTCTCAAGTCAAGGCATTGTTGTTAAAAGTCATGTCACAGACAAAGAAGATTTCCATGCTTCGGGCCCAGCCCTCCAGCTCTGTGATGCTCAGCAGTGCCTCTGTGTCCTGGTTTCTCCTCCCCCATTCCCTGTACCCCTGCTTCAACCTCCTCTACTCCCTGGGCTCCCTTACATTTTTACCTCTGGTTATGTCTACGTCTCCTCCAGGTAACTTTGTTTCTTGCCTTATATGAAGCGGTGGGATCCCCTTCACTCCTGCTTCTGCCTCCTCCTCCACCTCCTTTTGTCCCTTTTTCAACTTCTGCCCTTAACTCTGCCTTGTACTTAGCACTTAACCATCTCATCTCCTTATAGAGTATGACTTCTGCCCTTAACCCACTCTCCTGCCTCTGCCTCCAGGGTGGCTACTGCCTACTGCCTTTCCCCAGTCTGCCTTTCCGGGAAAGTTGGTTTATATTTTTTCAGTTACCTCCCACTCAGTCTTCAGCCAACTTAATCAGATTTTGGCCTGATTTCATCCTACCAGCACAGAACTGTCAAAGCCTTAAATGGTTCTTTGTTGCTGAGCCACGTGGTTGAGTGTCAGGCCTTCTTTTCCATGACACTTGGCTCCTCCTCAGCCTTCCAGACAGTCTTGCTAGAGGGTTTCTTCTACCCTATAACTCAGTGCAGTTCCCTGAAATTTCCCTACAGCCTTGGCACACTCTAGAAGCTGTTTTTCGGCCTCTCCTGAATCCTCTTTTTCAGCCAGTTGCTCTCTCTTCTGCAAAGCTATCTCTGATTTCCTGCCCTCCTGCCCTCCGTGTCCCTCCAACGCACATGCTCTGAGTTGTTCTCTCATTTTCCTGTGTTCTCCTCAAGACTGCGAGCATACTCTCTGGGCAGGGTCCAGGACTTGGGCACCTACTTTTTTCCCAGTATCTAGCACAGGTCTTGTGCTTTTCTATTTATTTACTAAATGCTGAGTGAGGGTAGATCATTCTTGTAGGTGTTTGTGGTCCTCATGGCCTCTGGTGTCATAAGCACCACCCACAGGGGGCAGAATGGTGTTAAGGCCCTTTTTCTGACATGCAAGAAAAGGGCTAATGGTCCTAACCAGAAGCTTTAGGCTGCTTCATCGGTCCAAATAAGCTGGGCCAAAGAGATCACCAGAGAGAGGTACTTCGCCAACTCATTGTCCCTGTGTGGTTCCTTGTCTTAGCTTACTAGGAAGGAAGGGATAAGGCCCCTTCGCGTGATTCAAGTGAACTTAGTAGAGCAGAGCTGGAAGCCTTTGTTGACATGGGGAGACTGGAAAAAGCAGATTTTGCTACCTACCCTGAGGGAATTCCACAGGCCTGGGCATCCCTTCCTGTCTTTAGGAGCTGCTGAGCTACATTAAAACCACTGCTGCTTGGCTCCACTCAATTTCCCTCACTGGTTATGAGACATTTTTCACTTTTTTCATTCATCTAAAAATCTGAATGTTAATCATCCTGGTATATTAATCTTTATTCTTTGTTGTTTTCTAGGTTCCATTAAGTGAATTTGACTTTTCCTGGTCTAAAATTTCTGACATTCAGTCTCAGGTACACCTCCTACCCCGACCTGCCCTTTTTTGTGTTACCATTTATTGTGTTTCACTGGGAGGCGCTGTCGTCTAAGTCTGCCCTTTGTAAGGTGGAACATAGGCTGTGTAATCCTTAAGGTTTCTTGCCATGTTCTCTTCCTTCTGTTAGTCCAGGCCTATGAGAATTTGGCCATTGTTCTTACCACAACACCATTCTGCAACTAATCCAAAGCCTAGAGCAAATGTGTTACAACAACTGTTTTTGCAAGATAAATTTTTCTAATGTTTGAGCTCTGCATTTTTATTTTGTTAAAACTCATGTTTAGCCAGGTATAACATGCACATAGACAGTCCTAGCACTCTGGGAGACTGAAGCAGGAGAATTGAAAGCACTGAGAGACTGAAGCTTGGCAGTTCAGCAACTTAGCAAGACCTTGTTTTAAAATTAAAAAACAAAAAAGGGCTGGGGATAGAGCTCAGTGTGAAGGCCCTGGGTTCAAAAGTACAATGTTTCTTTCTATTTCAGCTTGAAAAATTGATTGAAAAGAACTATTTTCTTCATAAATCAGCCCAAGAAGCATACAAGTCTTATATACGAGCATATGATTCCCATTCTCTGAAGCAGATCTTTGATGTTAATAACCTAAATTTGCCCCAGGTTGCTCTGTCATTTGGTTTCAAGGTGCCTCCTTTTGTTGATCTCAGTATCCTTTTTATTGTTACTAAGTCAACTTGCAACCAGGGAGCAAAAGCTTGTGGGGGACATTTTGGACTTAACAGCAGGTTGGTGTGTTGTCTGGCTGCCAACCAGAGCCTCTGGTGTCTATCCTGCATGGGCCATTGAAGTGGTGGGGGGAAGAGGGATTAATTGTCAGGACGGGGCCTGCAGGCACAAAACACCTTAGGACTAAACCCTGGAAAGAGAGAAAGGAATATGACTCAGTGAGAGGCAGAGGTAAGCTGTTCATTCATAGCAGAAGCACAGAGGTAAGCTAGAGCTCAGGTGGTAGCTGAGGCTGCACTGCACCAGGTATTTGAAGGAATGGCTAAAGAGAAAGGATGGGATCTTTCAGAGTTATACAGACACTCCTTGTTTAATGACCAAATTCCAGTCTCATGACTGGGTCGTTAACTGAATTAGTCGCCAAATGAGGGATTATGTATAGTATGTACATTGCAATATTCGGAACAAAGATTCCGTCAAAGGAAACTCCAACTGGATGGCTTTGCTTTTATTTACATAACACATGCAGTACTATAATGTATAACAACACAAAACTGCGGTGTGGTACTGTACAGTACAGTCCGCAGAAATTATAGTACTATATAAACAAGGTGTGCGGTACAAAAAGAAGACATTGAAGGTCTATAAACAAGATGTACAGACTCTACCAAAAAAGAGACAGGTTGTAAGTCCAGATAGTCATTAAATGAGTAACTACAAGTAAATGGCACATTTGGCAAAAGAAAATAAAACTTATGTGTTGCTAGGAAGTACTTTCCAGTTGATTCTGTTGGAATTTATGATGTGTTTATTACTGTATTATCAGTGGAAACAGACAGCTAAGACGAGACCCATTCTTAATGCTGCAGTGGTACCTCCCAAGGGGACAGAACCAAATTGAGGTCGCCGTCTCCGTGGTAGACATTGAGTAAATGTTTACTGTAGTGAGTACTGGCTGCCTTGTGACAGGCAGTTCCTTCACTTGGCTGACCATTCCTGAGTCCACTTTAAACAGAAGTGGAAGTCTGTTGTAACACTGAGGATACTTTTTTAATGTGTTCTTATTTCTACTTATCTTGAACTTTGCTGTGTGGAGAAAAAGATTAATGTGATTATCATACTCAGCTTTAAAATCAGTGAATTTTACTCCATAATCTTTTACTCCTGTTACTGTGCAGGTTCGCCACACAAGCTTGTGTCCTCACATTTCCATTTTTTGGGCAAGAGTGTGTTAGAGGGTCAGTGCTGCTGTGCATGGTGGTTTTTTTCTGTGTAGATGTTAGATTACAGTGCATCGCCTTGATTGGTTGATTTCCTTAACATTCACCCGAAGATGTGAACAGCAGTGAAGGCAAGCACAGAAAGAGAGGAGGCGGCGGCGGATTTGGCTACCAGAAAACCAAGAAAGTTGAGAAGTCCAAAATCTTTAAACACATTAGCAAGAAATCTTCAGACAGAAGGCAGTTCTTTCACTGAAGAGAATTTCCTTTGATCTTGAGTAACTCCTAAAATGAATTTTTCCCTTTACAAAGAAATTTTTGTAGTCCTTCAGGCTTTTCTCATCTTTGCTATGATCATAACAATTTTTTAATTTTAAATACTCCTTGCAAAAAATTTGTTACTGTTTTACTCCCAGTACAATTCTCTTTTTGTACCTTTCCTTTATGATACGTGAAGATTTTGTGGCATGGATTGCTAGTTAACTTACTGTGCAGGACTTGGTATTCTGGACAGGTGATGGCAATGCAGAAGAAACTCTAGATTTACTTTTTGCTTTTGTGTCTTGGACATCAAGAGTGGTTTGGAACAGTCCCTGAAAAGGCAGAGCACTTTGAGAAACACCCAGGAAGCAGCTCTAGGTAAAAAGTATTATTTTGATGCCCCTGACTTTAAAACAGCAAGCTTTCCTTAAATAAATAAATAAACAAATAATGGTGATATTTAGGTTTATTTCGAGGTGGTTTGGATTTTGGTAAAACCTTCCAACTCTGTAGCATACTTAAAAGACAAGGGCAGTTATTAGTAGACTTAAAACTGTCTGAGATGACCTAAATTAATCTGTAATTTAACCTGGTTGCTCCTCATCGGGCGGGATTTGTATAAGGAAAGAATTCTTGGCTGTTTAAGGAAATGAAATGAGACTGGGTTACTCTAAAGTAAAAGGAGCCCCTTTTATCTAGCCACAATAACATGTGTGAGTAAGTCTAGAAAGCCAAATACAACCAGCAATTTAAAATTACTATTGCTTTCCTTTGAGAAAAATCAAATTTCATAGTGCTGGTTTTAAGTGTGTTTGGTTTTGAGGATTTTGGGTTTGTTTGTTTTTTTTTTACCACCTACTTTATAAGATTCTCTTTTAGAAGTAGTAGTCTGTACATATGTATATGCACACATCTGTGTAGTTTGGGTTCATTTCCATAGTATTTTGTAAAAATTAAAAGTTTGAGTACTGGTTTATATTTTTTTAAAAGTCCAAGACAGTGCTCACTGTACACCGTCAGATTCTTTGTGAAGAAAAAATTACCTGTTCTAGGTCCATAAAATGAAAAATACATGTATAGTGAAAATTGAAATGAACAGAGAATGGAAAACAAAGGAATGTGTTTTGGGGTAGGACCACTTGATTGAGTTTTGTGTGGTATATCATTACAAAATAGCAAAATTTAGTACCAGTTCAAACTGCTGCCATGCCACTTAATATTGATAGTTCCATTAAATGTAATTATGCAGAGGACATCAAGTGTAGAGAAAGGAATTGGATAAATGGTATGACAGTAGGAAAAGAAGAGTAGAGTCCGCCTCTGCTTGACCATTGCTGTCCTGGCTGGACCTCTTTGGATTTTAGACCTTGACTGCTGAACATCTGGCTTGGCTTCTTGGATTCCCAACTCTTGGCATAAAGTAACTGTTTCTTCAGTACTGTTTGTTTCGGAAACAGTTGTGTTTCAAAAAATACACAAAAGCAAATATTTCGGTATGTGACCTTCCAAGGTTTTATATGCATATTTATACTTTATAATTTTTTGTCAAAAGTGAAGTCATCCTCTGCCACTGCTTACAACCAGCTTGTTTCGTATTTTCTGTGTCGTTAAATAATTGCCCCCAGCATTTTATATTTCATTTATGACTGTGCTTTGTTAATCCTTGCTTGGTCTGCCAGATTTGGGCTTCTTGAACACCTACTTGACCCCTTCTGACTCTGTCTCAGCATACCTAATGCCCTTCTTCTTGGTCTGCCTTTGTCAAGCCCCAGTTTGAGTCAGCCTCCAAAGGTTTTGTGAGAAAAGTGTACTTGGCTTTAGTATTTGGGTACTGTGGACTGTTGTGGTAGCAAGAGGATCCAGGCTAGGGACATCCAGACAGACAGGCCTCTGTTGCCAGGCCAGGAGGCAAACGTGGGGGAGCCTTTACTAGACTCTTACAAGTTAGACTGGCAGCATCTGCAAGACTCATTGCACACGGGGGCTTCTTTGAGTTCCTGTGCTAAGAACACAGCTGGTGGCAGATGTGAGCAGGTGAGATTTGACAAGTGAGATTAAGTGGCTCCATCCATTAAGGTTAGAAGGCAGCAAGGCAGGGAGCCAAGCAGATCACTTCATGCAAATAGAGGTCTTAAGGTCATCTGGTCTGCAAGCAATGACTAATTATTGCTGTTTGTAAATTGTTTCAGTCTTACCCAGTTCAGTGTAAATAAAGCTGGACTTATGATATCCCAGAAGGGCCCTGTTCATTGATAAATTAAGTAAGGTTTACAGTGTATGCTCAGGAATCATTCCTGGGTCAAATTCCAGCTGTGCTACTTCTCTAGGCCTGTTTCATGAGTGGAAGGAAAGCGATAATGTATACTTCATGAGATGGAGGGAATTAAATGAGCTAAGATGGAGCTTGGAGGATAGTGCCTTATACAGTGCTCTGTACATTTCTGTCTATACATCCAGTGTGAAAAGCTCACCACCAATAGCAGCAGGGATAGGGACTCATCCCATGTCCTGAGCCAGTTTGAACCTTTCAATAAAGACAGATTTTTGGCCGCCTGGTTCCCCTAAAGTGGCTGTCAGGTGGGTTGGTGCCACTTCTAAAGCTACTGTAATACTGTTAGGTGGAGGCAACAACAGTGTGCCCTTAGATAAATATCCCTAATTCATCAAGAATTAGAAGCTCATTGGATGCCAGAAACTATCAAGGACACAGGCAGATATGAGCAGGTCCTTAGGAGGCTAGTTGCACTCTAGAGGTCATCAGTTAGAATACTGTTTTAAATAATGTGAAAATGCAGGTGTGAATTCCAGCTATTCTAGATCTGAAAATCCTGTGGGTTTTGGGGGGTTTTTTTTGATGGGACTGGGGATTGAACCCAGGGCCTTTGCACTGAGCTAGTATATCCCCCACCCTCTTTGTATTTTGAGACATGGTCTCTGTAAGTTGCTAAGTTCCCTAGGCAGCGCTCAAACTTGAGATCCTCTTGCCTCAGCCTCCCAGAGTGCTGCGATTACAGATGTGCACCACTGTTCCTGACCCTCCATCTTGAGTTTCAGTGGATAGATTTTTCTTGCCCTGTCCCAGGGAGACTGTCTAGGCCTTTGGTGGAGCAATGAATCTAGATGATTGTAATGGACAGTTAGTTTGGAGAAAAGCCAGTCTGGAATCCATTCATACACAGTCTCTTACTAAGCTTTTTCTGCTCTGACCTTACAAACTAAAAATGCCCAACACTGGAAGGAACGTATACTCATCCGTGGGTAGAGAGGCAGTTGGGATACACATTCCTGGACTCTGCAAAGGGAAGCACTGTGCTTTTGTTTGAAGGTCTTACTAGGAAGAAGCATGCCTTAGGCAGCCTTTACCAGTGGCACTCCCCTTCCTCAGCTAAAGCCCGAGGTTGCTCATTGTTCCATGGATCACTGGTTTGTTGTCAGCACAGGAGATGAAACCACTTTCCCTTGCCACATGTCCTTGAAAAGAGCTGTTCTCCCCTGTGGGATTCAACATCTCCATCTATAATTTTGGACTGCTGGGTTTGAAGGGCTGTGCTTCATGTGGCCTTCCTGTTTGAAGGCCATTGTATCACTCAAGTGGGTTGTGGAGATCACTTAGGGAGCACCTCACCAGCAGCCAGGGCAGCCTGTGACCTGGGGGTTTTGACAAATGGGGTACACCTGCCTGGGGCCCTGAATAAATATTAATAAAATGAAGGAGCATTGACGGTAGTGGTGATGTCTTCCTCAACCAGATCCCAGAGGCACACGGAACAGCTGTGGCATCTTAAAGCCAATCCGTGATGCATGACAGGCTGTGGTCCTGCCTTTATCTACCCACCTTCCTCCCTACTTGTTCTCGTTGGACCTCTGCAGCCATTTAATGTTTTCAGTTAAACTTTTTTCTGTTTAAATTACAGTGGCCTTTTGTTGCTCACAACTAAGAACCTAGAGATACAACTTGTAAGATGTGTTTTCTGGCTCTGCCCATTTGTAAAATATCCAAGTTGCTTGCTACCATTCCTCCTCTCCTTGCTCCTGAGCTTAGGGAAAGTGGTGATTTCCAGCCACACCAGAACTTGAATCAGCTAGGGCAGTGGTGGCAAACCTATGGCACATGTATTACTGTTTTTCTTTTAAGACAAAAGATGTTAATGTTTTTGTTTTCTCTAAACCAAAACCTCATTATTCAGGTTTAACTTCAGCGTTGGCACTTGGTGATAAATAAGTGAGTTTTGGGTTGCACTTTGCGCACTCATCTCTAAAAGCTTCGCCATCACTGATCTAGGCCAAGGTTGAATTAGGAGGAGGAAGTGGCAAGCCACTACCTCCAGGACAGATCTGGAAAAGCTACTCTGGATCTGGAGGGTTTAGAGATGGGGGTGGGGGGCACTTCTGATATTACCCAGAATCACAGGAGAAATATCCACATCTGAAAAAGAGCAGGCTGAGAGTTATCAGACCTTAACAGGGTGGCAATTCCTACAGCCAGGCAGAATTTACTCTTGAGGCTTTGAGCAAGTGACCTCAAAGTACCTGTTCTCTCATTTGTAGAAAGGGTGGAAGAAATGTCCACAGGGATTACATGAATAGTCGGGTAGTCAGCTATTCAAAATGAGAGCTGTTGATAGTACTACCAAGATCAAAAACAGGAGATGATTAGAAACAAGAATTACCTTCTCCCACTCCCAGCCATCAAAAGGTCAAATGTCAGGTGCTTTAGGCCAACAAACGGCTTAAAGGAGCCCTCTTGCTGGACAAGTCACCTTTCATGTTTTCCTGTGTCCCCAGCAGAGGACTTCTGAAATGTGCCAAAGCCAAAGGACACCTTCTGCCCTGGAACCAGCTAGGCTTAAAGGTATCTTCCCCAGAGGAGTGGGAGTTTTTTGCTTTGTCTATTTTTGTTGGCAGAGGAGTGCTACAGAGTACTGATTCTCTCCACCCTAGAGGAGAGGGCAGAGTAGGGGGAGAGAGGGGCATACATGGGTCCGGCTCTGTTATGCTTAGAGCACGCACTTGGCAAGACATGAAGAACTATGTCTGACTCCAGGCCTTGAGCTAAGCACTCTAACCCCTCCAAACCTCCCAGCCACCCCAGGAAGTACTGTATCACCTTAGTGATTCAAGGAGGAAACAGAAGTCAGAAGAGAGTCCATGGCAACTAGTAAACAAATGGTCCAGCCCGGATCCAAATGGTGTTCTCTTTGGCCCAAAGCCAAGGCACTTTCCCAGTCTGACAGGTTTGGCTTCTAGTCCTGGCTGAGGCTCCAGTAGAAATGGCTGTGGTAGGTGAGACAGCATGGGGCAGTGCCCTTGACTTCATTCTCTGAAAGTGTATTTGAACATTGATTTGGAGGAAGAGCTTAAGGTACAACGGTAGTTCTCATTCTATCCTACAATCTCACAGTGATGGATCTCAGGCAAATCCAGGAAAAATGTACCACAAAGAGAAAATAACCATCTCAGGGCTGAACTCAAGAAGAGCCTTAGGGAGGTGTGGGAGAGTTAAGTCCTGAAGGGCGCTGCAACTGGTAATAGAGTGAAGAGAGGGAGGAAACAAGGTGTCAGGCCGTGTTTTACACAAGCAGAGGCAGTGAGGAGACAGCCTGGAGAGATTTTCAGCTCTACTGTCTGCCCATGTTTCAGTCTGGCTCTGTCACTTAGCTGAGAACTTCCCTGTGCCTCATAGCTGCTGTTTGTAAAATAGGAACAGTGTTCACTGGGCTGTGGTAGGATTATATGAACCAGCCCAGTAAGTGTATCAGAAATGTTAGCTACTAGTTAAGCATGTCATACCTTTTAGAAAAGGTTGTGAGAGATATCAGAAGCCTCAAAAATCAGAAATGAGACTAGAGAGGTACACTGTGAAGTTTGAGTCTGAATTCAGTTTGCAGTGGAAAGAAAAGTGATGTAGTGTCCAGTTGTGCACTCAGATTCATTCTACCTCATGGTTAGCATGGAAAAGACCAGGGTGGAACTGCAGGTGGGGAAAACGGATGCTGTGAGAGAAAGAAGGAATGGGCGAGAGGACACTTAGGCACTGCCATCTTCCAGGTGTGAGCAGTGATGCAGAGGTGAAGCCTGAGTGGTTCAAAGATGACAAGATAATGTGATCAACCATAAGATGGGATGGAAAGAAAAACATCCCATTCAAAAATAGAAATTGATGCATGGCCTTGAACAGGTAACTACCTCAATTAGCTCACTTTCCTTGGTTAAACAATGGGAATTCATCCCTGTCTTGCAGGATTATTTTGAGAATTAAATCAGCACATGCCAAGCATCTTGCATAATAAAGCATATACAAGCATCCGTCACATTCTTTATCCTGCTATGAAAATTCTGTCTTACATTGCGTTTTTATTATTTCATGTGGCTGAGCTTTAGCGTAAAGTTTACTTCATCAACATGGAGAAAAGCGGTTTTGAAATCTGCAATTTAATTTCCTTACAGACCATTTGTGTACATTGTACTTACATCTACCTCATACTGAAATTTTCTGCTTTTATATCTGTATGTCTCTGCATCTAGGCCAGTGGTCAATTTGGCCCCACAGGGATACTTGGCAATATCAGGAGACATTTTTGTCGCTGCTGGGTGGAGGACACTACTGGCATCTAGTGGATAGAGGCCCAGGATGCTGCT